TGCGTTCCCCAGGCACCCTGGGCGGTGCCAGTGCAGCAGCCTTTCCCTGATGGTGGTGGAGTTGTGGGAGTGTGCATGTCTAGTTAATAGACCCCAAAGGCCAGGGGAGGAAGGGACAGCTAAATCCTGTTGGCCTCTGGTCCGGCTGGGAGGAAGAAGCGGTCGGCCTGAGCGTGGGCAGCTGGTTCCGGCGCTCAGCTAGGCAGAGGCATAGCCGGGCCCACTCCTTGCACGTCTCCAGAAGGCCCTGCCCCCAGGAGAGCCGTGTGGGCCAGAAGAAAGAGTACGGCTTTGCAGGCCAGGCAGCTCTGGATTCCACTCCAGGCCCGGCTGTGTGACCTTGGGCAGGTGGCGTTGGTTCTCTGATGCCAGTTTCCTGATCTGTTGTTGCAAGAACTAAATGAGACGACATGTACCAGCAAAGCTCAGGCACAATGGCTGGCAGGCAGTCGTGGGAGTGCAAGAAAGGGAAGTTCTCGCTTTTCTACTTCCCACACATTTGCTCTGGCTGCTTCTCCTGACAGGCCTGCCCTCACTGCCCTTTTGGCCATTCCTGGCTCACACTTCCTTCAAGTTTCCCCTCAGCATCCATCCATCAACCACTCATCAAGCCTGTCCTCAATGCCAGGCACCAGGCCAAGGGCTGGGATACAGAGATGAATGGGGCACCATCCCTGCCTACAAGGATCTCACTGGCTAGGGCTGAGCTGAGACATGGAAATCAATGATTATAACTCAGCGTGGTGCGTGGAATCACAGATCACTGTACCAGGCATTATGGATGCACCAATGACAGCAAAGACGGGAGCAGGGTGAGTCAGGGATGGCTTCCTGGAGGAGGTGATGCCACAGTTGTGAGGAGGAACAAGTCAGGCGAGGGCTATTCCTGGCAGGGGGCACTGACTGGTCAAAGGTCTGGAGGCCAGAAGTGGAAGCAATTTGCTGTTACTGGCACACAGCGGGGAGAAGCGGAAGCTGGAGCAGAGGGCTGGGACCTGCTGATACAGGGTCTTATGTGTCAGGTCAAGGGGTTAGAACTTTTGTTTATGAGGATCTTTTAAAGGATTTTAATAAGGGGGCAGGTGATTATAGTCAGATTTGCATTTTGGAAAGCTTGTGGAGAATTCACTGGAAAGAGGAGAGGAGAGACTAGAGGAGGGAACCAGTTTGGAGATAAATGCAATGGTCTGGAGTGAGAGAGAGGGCGAGGCCGAAAGCATATTTAGGAGATAAAATAATCGGGATCTGGTTGTTGCTGAGATGAGGGAGGAAGGGAGAAAGGGAGTCAGGTATGATACCCTGTGGCGAGCGGCTACAGCGTTTGGACAGGTTCAGGCCTCGGACTAATGAGAGGGCAAAGCCACGTGCAAGTCCCAGCACAATTATAGCCAAAGGCTATCATTATAAGCTTGACCTTTTGGTCCGAACCTGTGGTCCCACGTGGCTGAGTGATGTGGGCTGCAGGAGGTGCAGCAAGTAAACAAAGCTTGACCAGGTGCATGTAATTGAGTAGATTCGAAACCCAGGAGAACGTTGTAAACATCTTGACCACGCCCTCACTTTGCCTCGTGGAATCTGGCTATAAAAGACTCAGCTTGCAGGCCGTGGCACTGTTTCTTTAACCAGAGGGCAGCATCTCACCTAGCCCCAGCTTTATTCTCTTGTCTGTCTTCTTTAATCCTTCACCGCCCGTTTCTAGCCTGGGCAACAGGCAGGATGCTGAGATGGGCACACAGGGGAGGGAAGGAAGATGGGTTCTGGGGAGAGAGGGTGGCAGCGTCCGCTATGGGTCTGTCAAGTCTGGGTGCTGTTGGCCATTCCAGGGCAGAAGAAAGCCTAACCTTGGGTGCTGAGGGGGTGGATATCCGGGATATACTAATACAAGAGGAACAAGAAGCTTGGATGGACACTGGCATTGAAGGGGGGCGGGGGCTGAGGAAGGACAGCTCCCACAGGCCCAGGCAGGAACAGGCAGCCAGGGGAAGGAGGGCAGGTGGGCTGATGGGCTCTCCCACCTGAGGGCACCAAGCAGAGAGGGAGTCTCTGCACGCAGATTCCAGGGCCCACCCCAGGTGGGAGCCCAGGACCATGTATTTTTAAGCTCTTGTCCCACCCCCGCTGATGGCGAAGGAGGTGGCCTCTGGGCTTCTTACTTCGATAAACTCTGGTGTGGTAGGGGGAGCAACGGGAAAGAGGGAATGAGAAGCGGCTCAAAAGAGCAGAGTGGCCTGCATAGGTAGAGACGGAACAGAGAAAACCGCGTTTGGCTGGGATTCCTCCGGCAACTGCATCCAATCTCAGTCCCCGCGGGGTAGGAGAACAGCGCGCAGCTGTGCTGGAGGGAACCCAGGCAGGTCTGCTATCAGGCTCACCTCTGTGTGTCCCCCAGCTCCCCTCCCCACCCCGCAGACAGCCGATGCCTAAGGAACAGGACTTCGTGCCCCTCAGCCCACACCCAGCCGCCCCAGCACCCCCTTGCACCCTGGCTGTGGGTTGGCTGAGCATTTGTTTGCTGAGCACATCAATACCTTCACCTGCTTCAGTCTCACCCTTGGAAGAATCCTACTTCCCTCCCCTCCCTGCCTCTCCGGTGCTGCGGGAAAGAAAACAAGACAGTGGGGGCCTAATCAGTGCTTATTGAATGAATGGCAAAGCGGGTTCCTGATGGTTTGAAAGGTAGAGAGTGGATGCCCTTGAGCCAGCTGGAGCAGAGAGGTCCAGGGGGAGAGGTGGGAGTAGGTCATGATCATTAATAATCATTCATGTTTACCTGACAATCTGCAGTTTTAAAGGGTGACCGTAGAGTGCTATGGAGAGGGGGCTGCCGGAGCCCAGAGGGAAACCCTCATTTAAATGAGGGGGCCAAGGACGAATCCTGGAGAAATTATCTTGTTATATATGGATCAGCCGTGGTGGGAGGGGAAGGCAAGAACCTTCCAGGCAGAGGAAGCAACTCATGCAAAAGCCAGCGATGAAAGCAAGCCTGGGAATGAAGTTCTGATGAGGACGAGATGAAAGAATCATTTGTTCTACAAATAGTTATCAGAGTGGCTACTTTTATGTCGGTCCTGGGCTGGGTGTGGGGTACACCTGTGAACAGAGAGGCTGCAGTACTTATTCCCATGGAGAATGCGGGCTTTGGGGGAGACAGATGAAGCAGCTAAGCACAAGAAAACACAAGCTCGGAGGGGTTGGCAAGTGGCATGAGGAAGAACTGCAAGTTCTGAGCCAGAGAAACGGAGGAGGGGTCCCTGGAAGGAGTCGGGGAAAAGTCTGAGAGATGTGACACCCGAGATCTAAGGATGAGGAGGCCTTGGCCAGCCGCAGAGCTGGGGAGGGGCTCCAGGCAGAGGGAACAGTGCGTGCTGAGCCCGGGAGACGAGAGACTTCAGTGCTTTGGAGGAGCTGAAGGAATTGAGTGGGGAGTGGAGGGGGAGCCAGAGAGCCAGAGGGGTGGGTGGGGAATGGGTCTAGGGCTTTATGGACCTAGTCAAGGTTTGGGGTTTCATCCTGTGATTAAGGTGTGTTGTTGTTTTTTATTTCAAGTTTTAAACAGGCGTCAGGTTTGCACTTTAGAACAATCCCTA